TATCGTTCACTTTAATGGGAAGTCATAGCTACACCAGGGAGGCGGGATACGGCACGCGCAACAAACCATCCAAACAACGGGTAGTCCAGGAAGGAGCCCGACACCGGTAGTCCCGTACGTAATTTACCCTACACAGGACCATGTCTAGTGGTCGCGCCGAGTCCCGTCTTCTTGGCATTATCCCTGCCGTCCCTATAGGGTCCCCGGACGGTTCTGAAAACTGGTCTCAAGAAAGGCGAGCCGTTGGACTTTTGGGTGTTGGCTGGGTTGGATATTTAGAGAGCCTGAGACCTCAGTTACAGGGAACAACACTCTCTTGATATCGCTAACCATTGCGATTTTCTGGGTTGGGATGGCCTGCCCGGAACACAAGATCCGCCTCTGTATCACAGGGTGCATAACCTTGTTCAGATCCGAGAATGTTAAACCGTGGTTGGCCAGCTTTACTATATTACCAAGACATGTTCTGAGAGGATGGTGGAACCCCTACCAACGCAGTTTAAGTTTCCGACTTCTGAGGCCGAAAATTTTATAACCCATTTTGCACTGTTTATGTGTTCGGGTTAAGTCAACCACACTACAGTGGGTATTCTCAGCTGGGAACCGAGTTGGGAAAACCATCACTCCTACTGGGAGTGGTGGTTCCCGCCTGGGAACTGATCTCTAGAACCAAGGTAAATGCAGAAGAGAATTCCTGGCAGGAACAGATTTGAGAGAATGTGTTATCCTGCTCAAGGTCATTTCTGACAGGGAACAGATCCTAAGAATCTTACATACTGTACAGGGTCGTTTCCGGTCGGGAATATATCTATGGAAAATGTATTGTGTCGTAAAGTACTAGGACAAAAGGGTTCGTCCGATGCTTATTTTACACAAAAGTGCCCATCTTCACCACCCTCTCTTACCATGTAATTGTCTATGATGGAGGAATGGTTGTTTAAATATCAGGTATCGGCTGTGATGCATTTTTTTGTAGTGGGCCCCATATAAAAACTCAGGTCACTTTCACACTAGTCGGCACAATTACAAACAATGAAGACAGCTTTAATTCCATCCACTTCTACTAACAGATCAGGAGAACCTACAACACTCTGCGAGGTCATCCGCAGCTAGCAACAGATCAAATCAAATGAATCTATCATACAGGTCGAGGTGGTTCCCGGGCGGGACCAGGTCTAGTCTCGAATTGTGCACAAGCCCGTTCCCGCCCGGGAGCTGATCTATAAAACTAAGCGTACCGCACAGGAGCATTTCCAGGGGGAACAAAGAATTATATTGAGAGAATCTATCGTAATGCTCAAGGCCGTTTTCGGGAACTGAGAACCTACAGAACTGTATATGGTCATTCCTAGACAGGAATAGATCAACTGAGCCTGCCATATTTCGTAAGGCTGTTACCAGGTGGGAACAGATCAAAAAAATCTATCGCAATGATCAAGGCCGTTCCCGGTCGGGAACCGATATACAAAACCTACAGTACTGTATAAGGTCATCCCCAGGTGGGAATAGATTCTATAAAAACTGCTCCTGTATCAGAGGTTGTTCCCGGATGTGAACAGATATATCGCAACCCGCTTATTTCCCAGCTGGTTTCGGTATTAGAATCACGGATCCAAACCACCGCCTGGTGTGTGGTTGTTTCCTGCTGGCACCCAACCTGTAGCAACTACCGCCCAGCTCGTAATGATTCCATCACTAGCTCGGGACAGGTGTAACAAAACTATCCCCGTCTGCTAGGTTGTTCCTAGGGCGTGAACAGTGACCCTAATTGGTGAATCTGGTCCAGGTCTTACGGTCCCGTGCTTCCTGCTGCGGGTGGAAGTGAAGTAGGAAATACGATTGCGGTCCTGTACCCCAAGGCACTCACTTCCCGCACACTGACCCTACTTGGTTTCTGATCACGCTGGATTGTATTTCCTGCTTCAAGTTAGTGCAAAGCGGGAAATACAGCTACCGTATTGACTCGGTAAATACACTATCACTCATCGACCAGGGACCCCCCCCCCCCGATCTGAAACAAAACACCACAAGAAGGAATCTTGTCGTGGCTTCCCGACAGAGTACAGCCTGAGGCGCTTGAGCTTGCTATATCAGATTAACTGGTATTCGCGATTTCATTAACCTACTCGGCTAAGCCTATTGTGGCTTAGACTGCAACCTCCACTGAAGTCTCTCTCTCTGATACCGGTAGTGGATTCATAGAGTTTTTACCGTACTTCCCTCTGGCACGGGATCTCTTCCTCCTTGTTACACTGCATTGTACCGGTATTTCCTGCCTCAAATTAGAATGAAGCGGGAAATAAGGTTACTTCCCTATGACATGGGCTCTCTCTCCCTCTCTGTCATACTCAGGTTCAGGGTGCAGTGCTCCACATCCTAAATTTCGCGCTCTCAGTTGCATAGAAGCAGAGCTTACTTTTTCCGCTTCAGAGCGCAGGGAGGTGGGAAATACCCTAGAGGAGGGTTCTCTTTAAAATTATCACACAGATATTTTGCACTAGAGCAGGTTAGAACCTATATACCGAGCTTTTTCCACATCAGATCGCGGAAAACACCATAGAGGCAGGCTACTTTAAACTCACAATGCGCGTATTTTGTGGGTGAGGACGCTTAGCCCCTCATACCTAGCTTTCCCGCTTCAGATTGCAAGGAAGCGGAAAATACCATAGGGTGAACTACTGCAAACTCACGGCGAGCGTATTTTGTGGTAGAGGAAGTTACACCCCCATACCTCGTTTTCCTGCTTCAGATTGCAAGCAAGTGGGAAATCCCGTAGAGGTGGGCCACCTTAAATTCATTACTCGTCCCCGGCCATAAGTACCCGAAAACAAGGATTAAAAAAATATATGGTAAAACATCTGTGCGTATCTGAGCGCCCATACAAGATATCCATGTAGTATACCCCCCCTGTTTTCGGGTACTTATGGCCAGGGACGAGTATGGCCGGGGACGAGTATGGCCGGGGACGAGTACATGGATAACGGTATTTTGCACCATTATACAGCGGTTTACGCGCCCCACACTTGGGTTTTCCACTTCAGATTGTGGGGAAGCGGGAAATACCGTAGTGGCAGGTAGGTCTACTGTACTCTAAACGCGCTCCAAGCCTATTTTGTGCTGGAGGAAGTTAGGCCGCCGATACCTAGCTTGCCCGCTTCTGATTGTCTAAAAGCGGGTAATACAGTACCGGTAGAGGTGGGTCTACGTTAAACTCACAACGAGCGTGTTTTGTGCTGCAGCTAGTTAGGCCCCCATACCTAGCTTTACCGCTTCAGAAAACAAAAAAAAGTGGGGAATACTGCAGAGGTGGGCTTCTTTATTTTCATTACAAGGCTACTAATATTTTGCACTATTATAGTGGTATAGGCCCTCCATCGTGAGCTTTACCGCTTCAGATTGCCTGATAGCGTGAAATAGCCTAGAAGTAAGCTTTAAATCTATTAGAAGGGCATGGACGCATCCAGCTATCACCTATCAAATACTCTGAATCCCAAAGCTTTCCACCGCAGAATTTGACTACCATAGTTCTTCTTGAAAACCATTTCCCCGCACCGACTTTTGCAGATTTTAGCCCTCCGCAGCAGTGGGGTGTGAGCTTATTTTGTCTCAGTGTAGGTTTAACCCCCATCCCTAGCTTTACCCCTTCAGATTGCAACGAAGCGGGAAAGACCTTGGAGATGGCCTTAATTTAACTCATTTTAAGGCCACTTCCTGGTTTTATTGCCAGGTTTATGCTAAAAGCACAGGATATACACATATCTTGAATCGCCTCGCTGACACAGACCTCTGCTCTATTTCCTAGTACTATGAACCGGATTACCGATCACCCATCACATCAAGCGCGATATTCCATAAAAGTAGTGCATAAAGTAACCCTCCAGATATCTAGTCTTCCGAGTGACCTATTACATTAGGCTAACTTCAACAGGCGAATAGAACCTGTGGCATCCATCATGCGCGGTGGAGAAAGTAATGCCGGTTCCTATGTTATAAGACACGAGAGTCCTTGTAATACCAAATCCTTTACAGTCTACATATACTCACCCGCTATGGCCTACTTTTATCTCAGCCTACTTACGGTGAGCTACCCATGTCTTCAAATACATCAGCCCATCTCTCGTTGCTATTGCTTCTGAATTAGTACTCATCATCATTTCCCACTTCTGCAGCTCCTGATAGAAGAAAATCGGGAAAACAGGAGGCAGGTTAATAGGGGAGCAGATAGGGGGGTAAGACACATTGGGAGAGGTTATTCGGATATAGACTAGGGATACCGGACAGCCAGGGATTCTAGAGGCCTAACCGTCATTGCCCTCCTAGGAAATTATTGTCTACTTTTTTTTTTCAAGGTCCTGTGATCCGGCACAGTATCTTACTGCATTCCCTGTTTAAGACCAGGTATTCCGGCCACGCCCCCGATAGTTAAAGTCTATACACGTGTACAAAACTGTAACCAAGCTCATCTGATTCAAAGATATAGGGTCCTGTGACATAGAACAGCAATACTACCCGCCGAGGCCCGTTACCCACCATTACTAGCCCACAACCCACATGCTCTATGCTCTATGTCAGCTAGATCAGAAAAAGTATATATTAAACGGCCCAAACCAATGTGTCTCTGGTATCCCTATTGTGGAATCGGACAGGTGAATGCTAATCGGTAATGCAGAGTACGCAAGGGATCTGCCACCAACGGCCTGAGTATCTTTCCAGACAGGTGACGAGCTATGGCACACTATGCCGATGACTCTACTAAATACTGGCGATCAATTTGCATCGATCACCTATTGTCTAGGTTCCAACCCACTACCTCGCAGCAAGTTTTCGGCATTCATTGATTATCACTCGTATTACCCCACCGGTTCTCTTCCCACCCTTGTAGGTCTTAATTTGTACTATAAAGTAGCTATCTGCACCTAGCTACTGTATCTATCAATATACGTACCAATCTTCTTTCTCATCCTCTTGTCACCTTGACTAGAGTGGCTCTAAACGACCACGATGCCCTCAGATGCCGATGTCAAGTTGCTACTAAGTTGTTTGCTCAACTCTAATCAGACTGTAAGTGAGAGAGTATAACTAGGAACATCACATAAATTAACCCATTTCCAGGAGATTGATTTTGTGTCAGTGGCACGGGAGTCCAGCTATACGAACCCTAGATCCGCATCAAATCGGCTCGCTGTGTTGAAGAAGAGGCATAACACTTTTGCTCGTTTGGCTAAGCGTACTCCACCAGGGCCAACAGTAAAACAGCCACCGGTAGCACCCCGCATACCCCCAACAGCCAGTGTATTCTCTCCGAGTGGGGATGTTAGAACCGCCAAAACTGAGTGGCAGGGTGATCACGTTCCGGCACCTGGACTCGAGGCCGCTTGGCCCGCGGAATGGGAATTGATGGTTAATCACGGTGACGATGCCTTCCCTGTCTGGGAGAATTACAGCTTTCTACTAGACCAACCACCCCTGCCACCCGGTGCCGTCGAACCTGAGATTAGCGCTTTTCATCCGTCTTACCCACCTACTGCCTCCGATTCTTGGCCGTCATATCCCGCCTTCCACCCGTACCGCATACAGGATGGTTCCGAACTGAACTTTGAGCAATCGGAATTGCAGCCACCTGCTCTACCGGCAGAATGGCGATCATGGGAATGAGTATTGCACAGATCAACTCCTAATTGCCTCTGTTTCTGTGCCTGCGTGCCATAGTCCTTCCTGCCCTTTTTCTTTCTTTTTCTTTCTTTCCCTTTCGCTTCGGGTGGTTTTCTTGGTATTCTTTTCTTGGAGTAACGGTATTTTTCTTCTATTTCTTTTCTTTTCTTTCTATCCATATTATCAAGATTTCCTAGTTATTATTGGTTTGTGAGATCCACATTGTTCTGTATTTATTGGCGTCATCCATGTTAATGTCATACTACTGCTCGGCCAGCAATATACTTGTCTGATTAGAGTTACTTACCATGTCTAAGTTTCTCTACATTGTAGTGAAAGCTTTGTACGAGTAACAGAACGCCACTTGGGTAGATACAATGAGATATTTGAGGCAATGGGCAGGATGGATGCTTCAGGAGCACTTGAAAAAAGGAACTTGGGTCATCAGAATCAAGTTCTTTGAGTTAAGTACTCGTAGGGTGGTAATTGTTGATCACAACGGATTTCGTAGTCATTCTCGCATCTCGCTTAATAATCATGCTTGTCTATTTCTTTACTCAGGGGCTACATTCCTAGTTCATCAACCAGCTGACCCGGATCGCACACATACATTTCGCCGCAAACCTCAGGCATCGGATAATCGAGGCTGTCATCCAATGCCCACCCTCCTGCAATCCGAATCGTCCTCCGATGGACACACCGGGCAATCCGATATGCCGGGCCCACCTTCTCGCTCCCCCAGCCCTTCTATCTCCATCACAGCCTCATCGGAGCCCCAGGGCTGCCAGCACCTGCAAGCTACCCCTGAGCCTTCAGCGATTGAGACCGTGGTGCCACAATGGAGTCCTATAAACAGCTCTGATACACGAGGGGGTACCCACGAGTCAGGAACCGCAATAATGCCTGAACTAACCCATCAAACAAGAGCTGGAATCCAACGACTAACAGGAAAAGAACTAGAGCACTATGGTACGAGCCTTTCATCGACACCACCGAAACAGATTGCAGAGGCGGTCAGAGACCTAATCACAAATGCTACCGAGAAGCCTGAACGCGCAAAGCTCGTAACGAGGATTCTGGGCACCTTACAACTTCAACAAGAAATTGCACATTCCACGATCCCAGTCATTTGGGAAATGGTCAGCAAGGAGAAATTGTGGGATGGCTACGGTGGCAAGAGGCCTTTTAAGAAAATGGTTTCCTACCAGAAGCATGTTAAGCCTGTGATCGCGAAAGTAAAGTTATCGGAGCAGCGCAAAGTTCGGTACGAGAAGAAGCTGATGCAGCAGTGGGGGGACGATTGGAAATCAGTCCTGGATCCCCACGGCACCCTTCTCGCTCCACAGTTATCGGAACACCTGTTAAGCAAGTTATCAAATATCCCAACTTTCTGGACAGCCGACCAGGTCAATCAGGCGTTACGGTACCAGGTGAAGTTGCGGGCCAACCTGGGGAAGCGGGGTGTACGGACAACGCCATTACTCCTGCCGGAGGATGTTACCCAAGTAGCTGAAAAATTGGAGGGAGTTGCCAGTAGCAGAGATAATGTTCCAAAGATTCCTGCTGCAGCTTTTCACGAGACATTTCCGATAAAGCAACGAGGTCGCAGAAGGTATGGTAGACAGATCGCGCTACCGAAAGCTCTTATCCTGTCGACGCCACTTCATCAACGAGGCCCGAGCTCCCGCCGGAAGGTCCGCAGTAGGGGTAATTTGAAGAAGACAGCGATCACTATTGATTTAACCTCCGACAATTCTCGGGACTCCGACCAAAATAGTGAAGATTCTGGTGGGGAGACAGTGGAGGATAGTCTAGGGCCTAACACAGACTCTGGTAATAGAATGCGGGATGCACAGGATAGGGGCGGGGGTGCAGAGGAAGAAGACATCCACATGGATGCCCATAGTATGGAGGTGGAAGATGATACGTCCGTAATATGTCCTGGTCCTAGCTCAGACCCTGAGATAAGGGAGGCAGAGCAAACGGAGTATGGAACGGCTGCTGAACTATACCACTCGTGCAACCAATCGCCAATTCCATGTGAGCAGCGCGAGGACGATAGTGATGCAGAGATGTTGGACGTGAGTTCGGTAACTGCAAATTGTCTATCAGATAGTGAGGACACAGAATTGTAAAGGGCTATCTTAGTTAGCTGTAAGGAGCAGGGTTCAACAATCGGAAATATCCTTAAGTCAACTATTCCCCGGAAGACACCAGTAGCAATCTCGCAAGAAGTTCCCACTGCCTTTGCACCGGAATATGGACAGCAGTGGCATTATCATCTCCAGCAGATTGGCGCTTGTGAAAGCAGCCGTGGCGGACTATTGCCACATGCTGTACCCGGTCTTGAAATTGGTCTTTCCGATGCACTCCTTCCATATTGGAAGGCTGAGCTTGATATGCACCATCACTATGCTCCTGCAGACCCATGCAATGGGCTGTTAACGACATGCTTTCACTCAATTGTACAACAATGCCTGCTCCAGGACCCCCGGCTCTACATTCAAGCCGTCCTTAGTCGTCCCGATCGATCATACAAGCTTGTCGGCTACCCTTGCCCTGCTCTCTATATTGCCGCCGGTACCCTACCTCCTGCACACTTCCAACAGGTCAATCTGGAGTGGCACATGAGGGATTGGCGCAAGTACTCGCAGCGAACTGTTATCCGGGTAGCCCTTGCAGATAGCGATAAGATTACTTGGGAGACTATGAAGCCAATTGGGACTCAGGACTCACCAGAGAAATGGAAGGAGCAGATGTTGACAGCTTTGCAGTTGGTGGGAAACGGATCCCACGGCGGTGAACCAGGGCTTGATGCGCTGGGTCAGGCTGGTGAAGAGTCGACATGGCAAGAAGTCCAGGCCCAACCGGTAATGATTTGCCCAGTACACATTCCACTTCGCATATCACAGGTGTCGCGACCAGAGACACTGCGCTATATTGACCTTAATTACATTAGCTGTGCGGACAAGGAGCTGGAGCTCAAATGGCTAGGAACCTGCGATACAGTGTCGGGCTTGCACCGCGACCAGCACATACCGCTATGCCTGCCCTCCGGCGATACGGTACGAAAATCTGGGATCTCATCGGAGCGCGTTCCGTTTTCAGTAGAGCTGCGTGGTATCTGGGCAGTGGGAGATGCCATTCTCGGGCTAACCTCATGGGACTCACCCTTAGTTTCGGAGGAGTTGGGACGGCTTAATGATAAAGCCTTTATCAAGGATGTATTGAACAGAATGACAATTCGGGCCCTTGAATGTTATGAGAGACTGGAGGAGTGGAAATGGCTACAAGGTAAGCTTGCATTTTGCCCCCTTATAATGTGCGTAAACTAACTTGATAGGCTGGGTTGAAGGCAGTGGTATGGGGGCCAAACAGAGCAAGGTGACGAGATGAGGGATTATTGATTTTCCTTTTATTTTTAAGAAGTTATCTTATTCGACCTGGGCTTACGGGTGCTTTTTTACTTTTTTATTTTTTACTTTTATTTATTTCTATTTCTATTCTTTTCAACTTTTCATTGTTAGCAGGCGTATTCTGGGGGATTGATAGTATGGGGGGGGCTCCTTGAAGATATCTCGGTTCAGTGGAACAGGGGTTGGGCGTACATTAAGGTTTATTGTGTTGTTGTCTCTAGGAAGACTTTGATAGCTATATCCATACTTTTAGACGCAGTGGGATATATGTAAATGTAGTTTCTGCATTGTTACGCCTTGCGAGTACAATATGATTAACAGGATTCTTACTGGAAGCGAGTATTGTCCAAAAACATTTCATGGTATTGCTAGTTGCTTTTTGGTTGGGTTCATCTAGTAGTCAGATAGGAGGTCACATGGGCAAGATGCGTAACTAAGGTCACTATTCTGAGCCTAGACTTCTACGAAAGGGAATGGTAAAAGCTCGATCAAATATATTGAGCCAGCTTGTGCACAATGTACACTTAAGCAGCTCCACAATATTATAAACGCATGGCATAGGGACATGTTTGGCATACTTAAGTATAAATCATATTACATGGGTTCCACATACCGAAACCTTGTGACCAACGAACAAGGCAAAGGCTGCAAAGAACTTTGTCGAACAAGTGCAGATCCCCAAATGGCCAGATCATGTTTTACAAAGCAGTAGATATAAACTCTAGAATATCGCTGTACTTGTATGCTTGTATCGGTCATAGTATCAGTTCGAGGACAATGTTGGGAAATCCATTATGCAGGTCCGATTTTAAAATACACTGGCTGTATCTTACTAATGTTAGCAGCATGATGTAATCTCGGGATTTCCGGATATTTACCAAAGCTGTGGGCGGCGTATTTCGTGGACTATTGCATATTTCAGTGTGGCAGACTCTGTGCCCGAAATGACACAACACGCGATGTGGGTCGAGCAGGAGAGGGTTTCCAGCTTGTAAAGTGGGAAAACAGGTTTCTCGGAGTCTTAATCAAGGCCTAAGGAAATCTTGTCTGATAATTAGAAGCCCGGTTTTCCACTTCAGAGGTAGAAATTCTTGGGCGGGCTAGTTTTGCAGAACTTCCTGTTTCTAAAGTGGGAGACTGCATCTGTAGGGGTCTTGGTCCTGCCTAGAGGAAAATGGCTGCAATTGTCAGATTTGCGATTTCTTGCTTGGGTGGCGCGGAATCTGGGTAAGCTGGACTTTCAAAATTTCCTGCTGCTGGGGCCGGAACCTCTGTTTATTTGAGTGTCAAGCATTGTGGAGCAAAATTGGTACCATACTCAGATCAAGAATTTCCAGCTTCAGAAGTGGGGGGTCTGTTTAATAGGACTTGGCCTTGCTTCAGATAAAATCGTGATCCAATTAGCGGAACAAGGATTTCCCGCATCCAAAGAAGCAAGCTCCTTTCGTAGGAGATTTAATAGCTATGTACAGAAAACTAGTCTTGTAACTGGAATAAGAATTTCCCACTTCCACAGTGGGAAATCTTGTACCAACTATATTTGAGGAATTTCATGCTTCTTAAGAGGGGAACTGCTTTGGTCGGGGG